CCAAAAAGTTGATTCTGTTCATCTGGACGTAACGTTTTCAGAGGGAGAAATGTTTTGTCACTCATCCAAGTGACGTCTTTAGACTCAGCTGACTGCAGGGCTCCCCAATCTTATAAACGGACATTTGCATAATGACTGAAACTAACACCACTTATGAACAATGGGCTGGGAGGTTCATTTCTTCATCATTAATTTACAATGCTTCTAAATGAGAATACACTCCTAAAGGTGTTTGAATTCACAGACAAACTTAGCCCAGCACAACATGAGAAGTCTAAGACCAGGAAACAGGAAATCTGTGCGTCAGAAACATCACCAAAATATGGAGAGTGTCCTAAGAGAAAAGTATGCCACACTGAGGATGGGGACAAGTGGGTTAAACATTTTGTCTGACAGACAGCTCACCCAAGCAGAGAAAAACATCCTTGCAAAAGGGTTGAACTTTGTTGTGACGCCGAGAAAAATCCCACTAGTGGAACTGATCACAGCAACTGAAACAACAGCAGACATGAAGCGGAGTAACTGCAAATGAAAGTTTCGGCTTGTCTCAGCAGTGCATCCAAAATAAGCATGGAGGAGAGGAAGGCATTCGCATCGCTTAGTAACGACAACAACACTATCATCTTTCTGCCAAACAAGGGTAGGTGCACAGCTTTGATAAACAAGAAAGACTATTGTGTTGGAGGTGTGGTCTGAGGAGGGGTGGTGCAGTGGGCTCGAGGGACAGTGCCAGGGAAACTGGTGGGGCAGCTGAAAGCCATTCAGCACATATGCTTTCACCTCATAACACAGGGGAATCTACATCATCTGTGTGGTTTACCAAAGACACATAAACAGGGTATACCAATTGTCTATATGAACAACTTGGTAAATGGTAAATGGACTGGTTCTTATATAACGCTTTTCTACTCTGAGCTCTCAAAGCACTTTATGCAGGATGGTCACCGATAACATCACCAAGTTTCTGGCTTCGATCCTCAAACCGATGATAGTCAGCTCTAAACACCACATCCAGAACACTTTTGTTCTGTACTTCATTCCACCTACTTCACATACAAGGGTCAGTTCTACAGGCAGAAACATGGGTGTGCCGTGGGCTCCCCAGTTTCACCCACTGTGGCCAATTTGTACATGGAAGAAGTGGAAAAGAGGGCTTTGCTATCCTACCCTGGAACACCACCAATCCATTGGTTCAGACATGTGGATGACACCTGGGTGAAAATCAAATCTCAGGACGTTTCACATTTCACGGATCACATTAACTCAGTGGACCGACACATCAAATTCACCAGGGAGGATATGAAAAGTGAGATTTCCATCAGTAATGGGGGACATCTAAAACCTGACCATATGTACCGTAAACCTACACATACAGATCAGTATTTAAGGTTTGACTCTCATCATCCACTGAAGCACAAACTGGGCGTCATCAGGACGCTACAACACAGAGCGAACACCATCCCCACAGACACAGCAGCCAGGGAGGCAGAAAAACATCAAGAAGGCCCTGAGTAAATGTGGTTATCCCAGCTGGACTTTTGTCAAAGCAGGAAAGGCTCCTAAAGAAAGCTCCAGCCGATCCAGGAGGGAAGGACAACCGCTGCCCAAGCGAAAACCTGTAGTGATCCCGTACATGTCAGGAGTATCGGAGCAGCGACACATTTTTTCTAAACACCAGGTCTCTGTGGCTTTTAAACCCCAAAACGCCAAAACTTGGTCCACCCCAAGGATCGGGTCCCCCGACACAAACAGAGTAACATAGTGTACGCTGGTAAGTGCAGGAGGAGTGCCAGGATTTATACGTCGGGGAAACCAAACAACCTCTGGCTACAACACAGAAGAGCCACCTCGTCAGGCCAGGACTCTGCAGTCTGTTTACACCTACAGGCCAGTGGACACTCTTTCAATGATGAGGATGTAACATCCTGGACAGGGAGGAACGCTGGTTTGAGGGCGGAGTCAAGGAGGCCATTTACGTGAAAAGGGAAAGACCATCTCTGAATGGAGGAGGGGGCCTAAGGGTACATCTGTCACCATCTTACAATGCTGTGATTGCAGCCATTCCCCACCTCTGTGAATGGGACTCATGGTTATTGATCAGTGGGCTTTGATCAGTGGGCTTTGATCAGTGGGCTTTGATCAGTGGGCTTTGATCAGTGGTCGTGACAATTTGCTTATTAATTGTCAAGAAACTGACTGATTTGTGACTGGACTATCTGGTTGGTTGTACAACCTCACTGCTAGGTGCCACCAAATCTCACAGTAGTCTTTAATTCTACTTAATCCTGATCTGAATGCCACAACCTGAGAACTGTTGCTGATCACGTGGATCCTTTCATGGCCACAGTTTACCTTATTCTATGCCTATAACTATCAGAGGTGGGACCAAGTCATTGTTTTGCAAGTCTCAAGTAAGTCTCAAGTCTTTATCCTCAAGTCTCAAGTCAAGTCTCAAGTAATGTCAGGCAAGTCAGAGTCGAGTCTCAAGTCACTGGTGTAAAAGTCCAAGTAAAGTCACAAGTCTGAAATTTTGAATTTCAAGTCCTTTCGAGTCTTTAAAAAAAAAATGAAAAAATAATGTTGCAGTTATGCTAAATGTAAATATTAGACCATGTAATTTTAAAATCTGTGTTTTTCTCAACACATGACAAAATAGTGAACTTAGAAAATATACACAAATTGTGAAATTGCACCTCTTTAAAATGCAGCTCAATTAAACCTAGCTCCAAGAATAATTTTCACCGACAGTTCTGAGATAAGCTGCATGTTATTCTTGGATGCGGTTGTAGGACCGGCTTTAAATCGCATGACAAAAATATCATACACATTAAAAAAAACTGCATCACCAACGTAGCCTGGACAACATTTGCTAGTTAGATGAAGTCAGCTATCTCATCGTAGCATATTTATATGCATATTTATAATCATACGGTTCTTGGAGTGAGTGCATACACTCATGAAGTTTAGTAACTTCAGGTCACTGCAACAAGCCCAGGTACAGTTTACCGACGGATGGGTGCAGGACCTTGAAATGCACCGTGTAGAACGAAAGACCATCGTACGCCTCTTTGTTACTTCGGAAACATGGCTCGAACAATTTCTCTTCAACGACGTAATCCGATAACAACCGATCTCTTTACCCGTCGGCTTCCCGTGGCTGTCATGCGACCGGCTATTGCAGTTAATAATACAACAGCTTCTTGACATTTTTGTGTTTCTTTTTATCGCTGTGTGACTGAGTTCAATTGAAAGCCTGCGTGCGCTAGTACCTCTTGCCACGAGTTCCCAGAATCCTTTGCGGTTCTACCCCTGAATGACGTCACATTTTCAATCTCTATATAATATGCATGTTAAATTTTATATTTGGGGTAAAATATCAAGTCTTTTCAAGTAAACCGGTTCAAGTCCAATTCAAGTCCCAAGTCATTGGTGTAAAAGTCCAAGTCAAGTCACAAGTCTTAGAACATTTTTTCAAGTCAAGTCTAAAGTCATAAAATTAATGACTCGAGTCTGACTCGAGTCCAAGTCATGTGACTCGAGTCCACACCTCTGATTAAACTACCTGTGGTACTTGGAAATATGAAGAATGTTGACAGTTGTGGAAACGTAATATTTCCATGATGTGTCACATTAAATACTCACAATACACGAAAAAGTTAAATAAACCTAATAAAGTAAAAGATCAAATATGTAGAAATTGAGCTTTTCAGAGAACAAAGAAAAGTACACTGAAAGTAAAGGTAATTTTAAAAAAGAAAAATAATCTTTTATTTGATTAAACCCACAATCTTTTATCTAATTTGAGTGTGTCAGCCATTGTACAGCAATGAGAGAAAAATGGAGAAAACATATATCAGTTAAATAGAAATGCACAACATTTGTACAAAACGGGAATGGAAACAACTTTGTGAAAACAGACATTACTGTCAATGTTCAAAATGTTAGACGACACTAACGAATGATTCAGAGAAACATGGGACATACTGTTTGAAATTTAGTTATAAAAATAATAACAGCACATACTAGTTTAACACAATATTTGGAGTAACTTTTCTTCATTCACGCTGTAACCAGTTAATTTAATTTCTTTGTATTGTACTGGTTAGAGAACCTATAATGTACGGGGAAACAGTGGAGCTAATGTTAGATGAAGCAGCAGTGTCATAAACACAGCTAGGCTGGTTCCAAAGGTTAGTCACTAAGGCTTGCTATCAGCATGCGTGGAAACAAGAAGACCAGCTGCCAGTTACACCTTTTTTCCCCACAGTCCTGTTTTGTTCAGGAAAAACACTCCACTAGCGTAACATTCTGGCTACTGCTAAATCCTAGCTCATAATATGTACAGTAATCATGATCACTGTCTGTATTAAGAGTCACCGTATAAGTGGCCTGAACCAAGAGCCTGATTCAAACAAATTTACAGCAGGAGCTGCTTCTGCTTGATATTGATTGGCTGGTCTATCCATAGTCTTTATTTTCTACTCAGATGTTCAGGAGTGAGAGCCTCCAGATCATCAGTGATTCATTCTGCATATTAATATCTATATTATCCCAATCTATGATCTTCCTGTAAGTCCAACCATGTGGGTTTTTTTGTTTGCTGCAATTAAACCTGACCACTTTTTTCAAATATATCTATATTTAATATGTCACATTAGAGGGCATAACACTAGTTAAAATCCTGACTCACAACAAGAAAGTCCTGGGTTCAAATGCAGTCTGGGGCCTTTCTCTCCTGTGCTTGTACAGCTTCCTCCCACAGTCCAAACACATGCATGGGTTAGGTTAACTGTGACTCTAGACTGACTGTGGCTGTCAAACTGAATGGTTGTGTGTCTCTTTGTGTTAGCCCTGTGACGCACTGACAACCTCTCCAGGGTGTACACTGCCTCTGAGAGCTCCTGTTATACTTAAATTAATAAATGGAAGCGGATGGATGGATGTCATATTATTATTCACAGATCAGAAGATATATTAACATGGACACAAAAAAAGAAATCTTTTTTTATATGAACAACTTTGATGATGAGACGTGGAAACTTAAACACATTTTTCTACCTCTGTGTACTAAACCTGACATCATCACACCATGAATGGGAGTGAATTATAATAAAAACTTCATCATTCAAATTTCAAAAACTATACAGACATCACATTTTTATGAATACTTTCTCATCAAAACAAAGAATAAAGAGGCTTTGCAGTAGCTGGAGTCACTGAAGATGGCTTAGGGCTCTGTATGTCTGTAGTCTCTATTGGGAAGAAAATGAATAAAGTATTAGTTTGAGTTGACAAGTAGTACACAAAGAGTGTGTTTTATTATGCTGCAGCAGTTATTATGTGGAGGGAGAGGTTACAGGGAAGTTTCAGGTAAGCCTGCTATTGTTTAAACTAAGGGCTTGTCTTTCAGTGACCAGTTAACTGTAGTTAATGATTATGCAGTGATAAGAGTTTCACTGCCACAGTTACAGCCATTTTTTTTTTACTTCTGCTTTTAAAGTCCATCAAAAAAAAAAAAGCTATACCCGGCTAGACAGAAACCTGTCTTTTGTTGTACCATTACCCTTACGTAAAGCATCTGTGAAGGTCATTTATGCGACTAATCCAGGGATCATTGCACAGATTTGAAAAAAGGACTTCTAGTCCAAAATGTAATATGTTTTGTATTTATCAAATAGCACTAACTGGGTATCTTTAAAAAAAAAAAAAAATTGGGATGAAGATGTAAATTGAATGCTATGACGTCAGCTGAACACCTACAGAAGATTTGGGACAAGCTTAGTGCCTTAAAAAAGCTGATTTTCTCACATTTTTGTAAATGAGAAACTAACAAAAAATGTATCCCTGCCTGTCCCCAACACACACGCACTGTGAGGAGTAGCCCAGTGTCGCTAATCTGTTGGAAAAACGTGATCAAAGGGCTAAAGGTATTAAATCCATTTTCTGTGTGTTGTTTCTTATACGATTTGAATTTTTGCCATCTTTGTCGTTGCTCAATATCGTTTCAGTTAGTTTCCGCTATTCAAAGTCTTGGTTTTACGTTTATTTCCTTTGACTAATTTACTGTTTTTTACTGACTACAATAACTGGGCCTGTGTGCGCTGCACTGTGAGCCAGGCCTCACCTGTACGCCAGGCCTCACCTGTACCCGTCATTATGCAGGTGATGTCTCTGTAGCGGTGTGGGGCATCTCTACGCCACAGTCTGCTATTGAGGAGGTAGCAGTCTGTGTGGTATTGCCCATCGTTGCCATGGCTACGGTCACCCGCTCCGGCGGTGACACAGGTGGCCCCGAGGCTGACCTGGGCATGCGGGCCGTATGGGACGGTTCTCCGTTCCTGCGGAACGAGTTTCGGATGCCGGTGGACACGCGGCTGGAGAGGCGCCTCACGGCGCCGCTGATGCCCCCAAGTCCGCCCTTGTTCTTTTTCAGTAACCCCACATCATCCTCCAGCTCTGACGGGGGCACTTCGATGTTCCCAGAATACCAGAACACCCACCAGATGAGGCTGAGGAAGATGACGATGGCGCCCGCGTAGATGAGCAGGTCGTAGAAAAACACGTCGACAAACACGCCGAGGAGGAGCACGGCCAGTCCCACAATGTCAAACACCACCGCGAGCCAGAAGCAGCACACACAGCGACCCAGACCCCGATAGGCCGGCTCCATGTCCCATAAAGAGAAGTCGGTCCCCACGACGCCAGTTTATTTCCCGTCGTCTCTGTGCCGCGGCATTGAGCGCGGCTCCAATGTGAGCCAGGTGTGGCGTCCTGTCCGCTCAGGTGCGCTGCCCCTGAGAGGAGGGGCTGTAGACGCTACCTGACGGCTGCGCTCATGTGCGTTTATGATGAGCGTTTATAAGGGTGTAGCTTACTGGACCCAGACTTCGGACGTTACAGTGCAGGTATGACTCATTAAACGTGAATATGAGAGCGGCTTTATAAACTGAGAGGCCAGCATTAATAAACTACAAAAAAAAAAAAAAAAAAACTACAGATGACCTGACCAATGCCGCCTTCGCCATCTTGTTTTTAGGACTGGCCATCAGAAAAAAAGCACAATTGCAATATTTCAAAATCGATTAAGAAGATAATTTATATTTATGGGTGAATCATCCCTCCCTTAACCATAGTGTGCTGCTACTTTTAGCTGCCCTCTTGCCACAAAGGGGTAGCCACAGCAATTAGCTCCATATGTTTGAGTTTTATGCAAGAGACCCTTCCTGACACAACCCCAAAGGGTACTTGTGTCTCTGTCTAGAACTAAACCAACAACCTTTTGCTTGAGTAGATGTACTAACCACACCACTTGAGATTTCAGTGCAATGGGTAAAAGTTTTCTCCCACCTAGTCTTTGCACTTGTTTGCACATGTTAAACATGTCACCAAAAAGGTGCTACCAACATGAAACCAGCTGTCAGTAATATCCCATCCAATCCACATTTGCAAAGAAATCAAATAAATATAATAATGAGAAACGACAGGGAAAATAAGAACATACAGCAAGTTCTGTGGCTCATAGCAACATATAGGACCACAGTTTAAAAAGAATGTATGAGCAGACTGTCAATACAAATTTTGACATGATTACCTAATAAAAATTGAGAAGACACGAGCCTGTATCCCCTTTTTTGCTTGCAAATACAGTCAGAAGTCTCACACTGTTACATGTTGCCAATCAGTGCTGTTGTGTCTCCGGCGTCAGGAAGATGAGCCTAAATTCAGCTTCTCCCCATCTGTCCATCAAAAACAGGAAACAACTCAGAAGGTGATATGAGGTATGAAGAGATGAACCCCGGTGCCACCAGAAATAATATTGTTAAAAAGTGTTGAGTCACCACACGCCTTCTAAAAACTTCACTTCTCCTTGGTATTAATTGTGTTGTGCTGAAAGGTGGGACTTGTTTGGAAGTGATCCAATCAGAAGAAACAACCTTGTGCAGTAAGGTTAGATGTGTAGATTTGATCTCCTACTGACAAATAGGAAAATAAGATGCTTTGTGAACTGGAGCAACTCTCACTGGTAAAAACACTTTAGGCAACCTAACCAACTTTAGATATTTAGTCAAATGAAACTAAACTAAAAGAACTTAGATGGCCCCAAATGACCAAAACTACATCAAAACTTCCTCAACATCAATATTCATAATCATGCTGAGCTCAGGGTGACCTGCTGAACACTTGATGCTTAAAGACTGAAGTCACTGAGTGCTGTCAGGGTTCTCAGCTGTTCAGTGTTCTGCCTGAGGATCATTTTAAATCACTTTTATTTTTCACTGAAAATAAGCTGCATTTAGCTGGATCAGTTTTAGGATGCTAGTACTTTTAATGCTGGCTCTTGAATTTCTTTCATCTGCCAGTCGCAAAATTAGCTGTGGGGGGAAAACAGAAAGTTTCCATCTTACCTTTGTTCCATGCTTTGACACACACTGCTCCCATCTAAGCCACATCCACTCCACAGCCTGTACCCATTATTCCACACCTCCATCATGTTTGCTGTGCATCCTTAAAATTAAATAAAATCTGAGGTTGTGCCTTCTTATTTTCACCTCAAAGCTAATGTACAGTGCTGCTGAGTGCTGGGTAGGCGCCCGTCTTGCTTATTCTTTGAGTTTTGAAAAATAAACCACAATTGACAAAATGACCTTCATATTATTTAAATGTTACATAAAATTTCTCCACTTAAGCTCAAGTCCATAAAATTTAATTACTGGTAAATTACTGGAGTCACAGGAAGTGATCTATCCAAACAGACATCTTTTTCGATAGATGAGTCGTCCCTTGATGACCATCGCAGAAAATGCAAGTTTAAGGCTCTCGTGCTTTACTTTTCAGACACTTTTATCTACAGTATAAACACATTACATCTAAAAAAGGGCAAGAAGAAAACAAAGAACCCTGAAGTGACTGATATGAGTGGATCTTTTTGGAAAGAGCTCCGACTGGCAGCGACTTTGACAGGAGCTGGAAAGAGTCTGTGCAGTTTTCTCTTATTCTGTTATTCAAAGGAAGAAAATCAAGTGCATATAATCAATTAAATAATAATAAAAAAAGAATGATACAAGTCAGTTTGAAATTGTGTCAAACGGGGATTCAGCATCAAGACTGCTTTGGCTGCCATCTGCCAAGAAATAAGTGGTGTTGATAGCATGACACTCGTCCATCCGCCTGAACTTTGACAGGCCAAAAACGTATCGTACGTACGTGTAAGCACATGGTGGTCAAGGTAAAGCCTCCATCAAATCACATCACACCATGTTTTATCGTCTTTTAAGGTTCTTACAGGATCATCATTCACAGAATAAAAACTGTGTTCCAAAACTCTACAAAGTAGCATAAAAATATTAATCACAAAAATATGGTTAAAAATTGTGATAATAATAATAATGGATTGGATTTATACAGCGCTTTTCAAGGCACCCAAAGCGCTTTACAATTCCACTATTCATTCACTCTCACACACTGGTGGAGGCAGCTACGGTTGTAGCCACAGCTGCCCTGGGGCAGACTGACAGAAGCGAGGCTGCCATATCGCGCCATCGGCCCCTCTGGCCAACACCGGTAGGCGGTAGGTAAAGTGTCTTGCCCAAGGACACAACGACAAGGACAGAGAGTACGGGGATCGAACTGGCGACCTTCCAGTTACAGATGCGCTTCCCAACCCCCTGAGCCACGGTCGCCCCTAAAAATTGTGACAGTGCACAGGGCAGAAAACAACCTGAAACTGAATGTAACTCGTAATGGACTCCAGGAGACAGACCGGTCATTCCCCTGACATCGTAAATAGAAAATGAGTGGAATCTGTCTCCATCTTCAGGTTGCTGGGCACCCACATCTCTGCCAATCTCACCACAGCACCATCACCCCAGTAAAGGCGGCCTGGCAGCAGCTGCACTTCCTCCGTGTGCTGAGGACCAGAAGCTGCTGCTGACCTTCTGACGCTCCTTGCCTGGGTGCTGGTACGCAGGGGCCACAACTGAGAACAAGAAGTCTGCCTAAAAGATCCTTGGCTGCCTTCTGCCACCCTTGGAGGCCATTGCCAGCTCCTCCTGCCTCAGGAAAACCAGGGCGTCACAGGTGACCCCTGCACCCCGCTCATCACCTGTTTGACCCACTGCCCTTCAGATGGTGCCTCAGGTTAGCGTCACTGGCAGCTGAGATATTATAGGTGGCAGGGCAGCTCTACAGAGCCAGAAGTGTAACATCCAGCATTTTAAAAAATTTATTTAAGAAGTGAAGAGTCCAAGCTGATGCTTCAAAACATGCAATTTTTATGTTGTGATACATATTTATATATATAACTCATTGCTATGTAAATACACACATGCTCTAACTGCACTTTGTTAGTCACACCTAACACAAATCCCTAAATAATAATATGGCAGAAATCTAATGCATTTAGACACGGCTCAGCTGACAGGATCACTTGTTACCTTGATGCAGTAGGAGACACACTGGGCAGCACTCCTGTCAGATCCAGTCTCACCAAGACTGGATGATAGAAGCAAACTGTAGTCTGGTCTGATGGAGCCATCCTGCCTTATATCAGTCAGGCTAATGGTGGTGTCATGTTGTGGGGCGTTTTCCTGACTATAGTCAGGGTTGGATCAGGTGACCATCCCTGCTGCGATAGGCTGCTGGGGCCTTCCTATGATGTACTGAGCGTTTCTTCTTCACTCTCTGTAAACACAGTCGCTGCATTGAATCTTAATTTTGCAATCTTTAAAGTCTCCTGTGACCTACTGTCATTACCACTGTGCTTCATAAGGGCAGCACCAACATTCATGTTGCTGGATTAAAACCTTGTGATTAAAAATACACTTTGAAGACTGAACTATGAAGCTGATCTCCAAAGATGAATCATTTCTTGGGAATTCTGATTTTAAAACAAGCATCAAAATCAAAGACTGATTTGCGACTGGTTAAAAATGCTAAATGTACTCACCCACCACAGCTCACTGAGGTCCCACACCTCCAGACCCCCGCCCCCCCAGCCCAGATCCACTCTACTTTCCAACGTGTTCTTGTGTCTCTTGCTCCTTTGTTTTACTTTTTATATTTTATACCTGCACAGTTGGTGGAGCAGACAATCTGGGTGTACACATACAATGACAGTAAAGGCATATTCTATTCTGTTCCATCACAAGCTTCTATATTAACCCAGGAATTCTGCACACTCACAAGAGGTTATTTCACTCTTCTACACAAACTTAGCCATGGCTAAGGCCAAACAGCAGAGGCCTGTTCAGCTTTTAAATCCGTCCATTATCCATGATACGAACTCAAATTTAACAGACAAGCCTTCACATCGACATTCCCAGAGCTTTGTGTTCACATTGTGTACATACTGGAAGCACTGACTACGTTTCGGTCCACAGGAGTCGATTTGTGTTGCACGTTGCAGTAATTAAACAAAATAAAATCTTTCTATCTATATACACTTTCAAAGCAGTTTCAGTCAAGCAATAGCAAAGATGCTGAACACCTGACAAACAAGCTTAGTTTTCCCCAATTTATGGTTTTATTGTCATACTTGTTTGCTTTGATAACATTTGAACACGCTCAAGCACACTGCCAGAACGCCACATGAGAAACCAAAAACTGGGTAAAAGCAGAGGGAAACATGTACACCCAAGATCAACATTTGGTTTCAACTGTTTAGTTCTTTCAATTTCCTTTGCAAGTTACTGTGAAAATCATTTTACACTCCGAGCAGAATCCTGGTCCACATCTGTTTTCAGATATAAATTCTGCCATTTGTCATTTATGGAAAGAAAAAAAGTGGAGGGGAAAAAAAAAAATCATGTATGATAAGCAGACCAGAGTAAGGAGGTGGGGGAGGTGGAGGGAGGGCTAACCCAGAATGGCATAGCTGAGCTCTCAATATGAGAAAGCCGACTCG